AACCGGGCGGGACGACCGGCCAGGCGGCCCGACCCCCCACCCGGGCGACCAGCCGGGCGCCGGGCGGCCCGGAGTGCAGCCTAGGTTTTTTGGTCCCCATGACATCGGACCACATCTGATGGTCGGGCGTTGTGACGAAGCTCGATGATCGGATGTACCTCGATTTTTCGTTTCATTTTTTTTGGGACCTTCGGATGTATTTTGACGGTACTTTACCTTGAGATACAGCAGATGGTCGAAGTGAGATAACCACTTTCTCACCCAATGAGCAATGGAATTTTGACGAAGTCCACTTTTGTGAATTTCGAAAAAATGTCCGTTTTCATGAAGCGCCAGTTGTGTGTTTGTGGCTTACAGTCTCTGTGAAATGTTTCCATGGCGTGTTTTGTCAAAAGGTACACCGTACAAACAACTCTCAAAGACAGAGCCTGCAGCCAAGTGAAGCCATTGGGGCGTGTGTGTGTGTGTGTGTGTGTGTGTGTGTGTGTGTGTGTGTGTGTGTGCATCTCGCTTACGGTCTCCGTGAAATGTTTCCGCGGCGTGTTCTGTCAAAAGGTACAGCACAAACAACACTCAAAGACAGAGCCTGCAGCCAACCAAACCCACCTGAATGCAAGCACGCAAAGGCCATAGAGAGCAGAAGAGCAAAGGGAAGACAGCATCACAGGGCAGCAAAGGAAAAGACAGACAAACGACAGTGAAGCAAAAGGAATGAGGCAACAAAACAATTGACGACAAACGGCAGCAAAGCACATTCGCTGGAGGGCACAGGGGAGGACGGCGGGCAGAAAAACAGCATGAGGCACCAAAGGAAATGGCAGCAAGCTAAAGCAAGGCAATAATTAGCAGACAAGAGAAGTACAAGTAGCCAAAAAACAACACAAAGAGCAGAAAGAAGAAAACTGATCATGATAGATTATTTCATCGGAATTCCACCAACTCATTAGGAGGCTGAACCCTCGATCTGCAGAAAACCCACATTGATGCTCTGAGTCATGAACCCCTTGACTGAAGTTGAGAGCGGACGCACTGCAGCACAAGCACCAAAGCAGCAATGCAGCAAGGCACGACGCAGCACTGACAACACGGGAAAACTACAAGGCAAATGGGTGCACCTCATGGGAAGACGAAGCAAGGCACGCGGATGGGCAAGTGGGCAATAGCACAGCGAAGTACAAAGTGGTGCTAACCGAGCAGCCAAACTGCACAACACACAAGCGCATTGCGTGGATGGGCGGCAAAGCGTAAGGCAAACCTGATCAAGCTAGACGAGGAACAAAAGCTGCAAGGAAAGACCTGGGAAGCAAATGGGGCAATTGTCAGGCCAACAGAGAAGCAAGCGCAGACTCAGCAATCCACACATCCAACACTGACCAAAGCAGCGCATCACCTACTCACCCCGCAAGTAGAGCTCTGCAGACTGTTCGTCCTCGCCAACTGCTGAGCCTCGCTCCTTCAGTTTCTCCCTATTTCCCCTCCTCGCTCCTTCTCCGCACTGTTTATGAGACGTTTGTGTGTGATCCCACCACTTTCTTCCACAGCGACGGAGCAAACACAGGATGACCCCCCCTAATCGTCCGGCAGGCACTCCGAATAGCCCGCCGCCTACTGATTGGCACTTCTTAGAGGTGCTCACACGGGCATGCGAAAAGTACTTAGAAAAAAGAGGAGAAGGACAAACAGAGAAGCGGCGCACCTGTACGGCGCGGTGTGCGCTGTATGGATTTAGAGAAAAAAGAGGAGAAGGACAAACAGAGAAGCGG